GTGGAGTGAGACATGGATACAGTACTCAGACAGCCATGGGTAACAAAGGTAGTCATCTCTTATGAACCACAGACGGTTGCCTCATGCCAAATTGTAAGCATGCCATGTGGACAAAGAAACCAGAACTAACCTGCAGTTTTCCATATGTGGTGTCAGTAGCCTTGTCTACGGCAAGCACAGCCTTGACAGCGTTGATAGTCCACGCAGAAACATCAAACTTGTGCGCAGGCGGCGAGCCTCCAATCCCAGTGAAATCCACGGTGGACAGATCAAAACAGCCGACATATATGAGCTGATGCAAAACAATTTTAAAAAGAAAGAAATATCAGTTGCCATCATGGATACTGTGTGGAAAAAAACAGGATAATATATGTTCCCATGATAATCAAGTTGATGTGCATGAAAAAGAGAAGAGAAGAAAAAGTTTCCATCTGCATATGCTAATTGCCATCATAGTGTGATAGCAGTTGTCATGTTGCTATGATGGCAGTTGCCATCATAGTATGATGACAGCTGCCATAATAATATGATGGCAGTTGCCATATTGTCATTATGCCAGTTGCCATCTTGTCGTTATGGCGGTTGCCATCTTGTTATGATCAGGTTGCCATCTTGTTATGATCAGGTTGCCATACATGAATAAAAGTGTGTTAAAAAACAGTGTTCACAGAAAAGAACTGGTAAAAAAATACCATTAAATGCAGTCGACAACCCTTTTGGTACATCTTGTTTGAGAATGCAACGTGCAGGAAGTCGGCAATAAACTTACGCCAATTCATGTTCTTCATATTTTTCAGATCCGCCTGCACCACACAAAATTTCAGAGCAAAAAAAAAGTTGCTGCATCAGAAATCAAAAGGAAAAAAACATCAAAAAACACTGGCAGTCACTAGCTTCACACATGACATCGGAGCCAAAAGATTGAAGGAAAATAAAAAAGTAAAGATGGATCATTCACCAGGATGGGGAAGCATTTATTGCTTGGGCGAAGAGAAGTGGTCGGCGTGAAAACAGCTGAGATGGGGTACATGAGTAGCTTCATCTTGAAAACATCTCCATGCGTCGTCATGGCCTGCAGCGAATCTGCCACTGCAGACGTGTTCGGCATGGATTCCAACCCAGGAAACAAACGGGGGAACATCGCTTCCTCGATCTCATTATTGACCTCGTACGAGACTTTGATATGTCCAGGAGGCACACCCAAAGTGCAGAACACAGATTCCTCGTTCAACGGTAGTCTTCCACGTCCCGGGATCACGAATTCCCTCGAGGTGGGGTCGTAGATATCACCAAGCCAGTCGCATACAGGGTTGACAAGGTTCGTGCACCGGACATCCATCATAGCCTGCATACCCATCTCAGCAGTAGCTCCCTTCTGATCGTCGGTGAATTTGTCAGTCAACGCCAGTCAGTTGTTCTTGGGAGGCTCTGTTGCGAATACGTTTCTTCTTATGCAAAAAACAAACAAAAAGTGATCAGTTGTTGCCGTGTTTTGCGAAAAAGTGATCAGGTGTTGCCATGTTTTGCAATGTCATGAAATTTTAGTTCATGTCAGACGACTGCAAGCTCGAGGTGTCACCCACTAACATAAAGCAGGACGGGGGGGATGTGTGGACATTTACCTCATCACCCTCTTTTCTCCATGCAGTTGCCCGATTACGCTGTGGTGGATCCATGAAATCATCATCATCATTTTGATGATCGCCACGAGCCATTCTGCTGAGATAGGAACAGACCAAATTGTCATGGTGGAAATGTAAAAATGCAAATAGGTAAGCATCTAATCAAGAACCTGAAAAAATTGCCACAGTGATAACTGCCACAACAGCAGAAATGTGCTAGGGTGAAATTGCCGTGCTGAAATGCAACACATACTACAACAAAAGCAATGAAACCAAATCTAATCAAGAACCTGAAAAATTGCCACAGTGTGTTCAGATAGCACAAAGTCTTTGTGGCAAAAAAACAAAAACAAAAATTGCGCCTGCAGTACAATGAATTTGCCACATTATACTGACTGTAGCATGGCAATAAACATGATGTGGTCAGCCAAGAACTTGCCACATGCAAAACATATGAATGGCATCTGACACAATTGATATACAAATTTGATTGCTACATTATGCAGCCAATTTGCCACAATGGGCTATCTGTAGTATGGCAACAAATAGTGTGTTCACATTATATTTGCCACATGAATATACTATCCAAGTGGCAACAGACACACTTGATGTGCACATTAGTTGCCATCCAGTGCAGTTGGCTGCTGAAACTGCATTAACTACCGAATTGTGGCAACTATCACAGTGTGGCAACTATCACAAATCATTCAGAAAAAATTAGTTGCCACAATGAAAAAGCATGTTTGTGGCTACTATCACAGTAATTCAGCAAATTTAGTTGCCACGTGGAAGAACATGTGTGTGGCAACTATCACAGTCATTCAAAAAAAATAGTTGCCGCATGGGAAAGCTTATGTGTGGCAACTATCATAGTCATTTCAGTAATTTGTTGCCTCATGGGAAACACACGTTTGTGGCAACTATCACATTTGCTCAGGAAGTTAGTTGCCATACAATCATGATAATTAATCAACCTACCAAGTTCGCCTCATACAACAGTTTCAAAACCCAACTAACTAGATCTAGGGTTCAATGATAACTACAGCGACTTCAAATTCAACCTCAAAGTTCTTCCCTGAACTGATTCCAAACACAAATTCGAACCAATGCGCATCAAACAAACCGGGGAACACCTGCCCAATCCAAGGGCAAGACTAGTGCATGCATCCGGACAGGCATAACCACACCGACGAGGCCGATGCCGCGGCGGCGACGAAACTACCCGGTGCCACCAAAAACGGCTAGCAGACGACTTCGCCACCGGCGGGAACGTCGACGCATCGCCGAATCGCCTGAATCTCTACGAATTCCGATCGACGAATAGAACAGGGAGGGAAGGGGGGAAAATGCAGGAAGGGATTGCGAGAGTTGTAGCGAGCATTACCTTCAACCCACGGGTGCTCCGGCGCAGCCGCTCCGTTCCGGCGAGCACCACCGACGGCCGTGAACACCGTCGATTCTTCCGCCTCCACTGTCGCCTTCTCCCCTCGCCTTCTCCTCCAATGATCTGAAGTGCGAGTGGGTTCGGCCAGTAAATGCGGTGCGGGGTGAGTAAATGGAACCGTGAGGGGAGAGGGGGCAGAGGTGTGCGACGTGTTTGACATCAACCGCGGTCGGAGCGTGGCGTGCGGGCGCATTGCAGTTCCACCGCACGCCCCGAGTGGCAACCTCTGACCGCGGGAGGGCAACCAACGTGTGGGCGAACTGTCTCGCCCACCGCACACGCGCTTCGTCCTACGTGGCGCAGAAAACCAACTGGATTGTGCCAAGATTCGTGCACAAAGTTGCCAACGGTGATGCTTGCGTGTGGTCGAGATGGTGAACGCCCACACGTGTGGGCGTTAGCAATTCCGTTTGAAATTTAGTTCCGACCCCACACACCAAATCTTTTTACATGCAAAAAAGTGGTTTTTTTTAATATTTAATTATTTGTTTTGAATTTTCTCTTAACCGGGTGCAGATGAGCCTGGCTTCAGAATTGGATATTTGAGAGGCTTGTCACTCAACCCAATGACCTAACAAAAAAGTCAACGTACCTAATAAAAAATAACTAACCCAACAGAAATATAGTTTTAACAAAAAAAAACCTAAATACTAGTGTTATTACTAGTTAAGGAGCTGGTTCCAGACCTAAATATGAGATATTCTCATTTTTGCGAACTTTTTTGAAATTATGAACTTTTTCAAGTCTTGAGTTTTTTTCAAAACCATAATTTTATTTTTTATTTTTTTGAACTTTGTTTGAATTCATGAACTTTTTTGAATACATGATTTTTTTTGGAAATCAAGTCAACTTAAAATGATGGTCAATGGTCGAGCCAACAGTCAATGGTTCAAGTCAACGGTCAATGTGTCAGTCGGTGGTCCGCAGGGTCAAGTCAACAGACGAAACCAAGTCCCTAGAAGAAAAAAACAAATCAAACTTATGGCTGGAGTGACCCGACCAGCTAGTGTTCATGGGCCGGCCCACAAGGCGCTGCGGTGAGCACCAGTTGGCTTCTGCGGCGCCGAATGGGAGGTCTCGGTAAATACGAGTAGGTCCCATGAACATCCGTCTAGATGATTGAAAACAACGCAAGCGACAGCAGTCCGACATATGGATCTTGACGCTCAGTCGATCGAGAATTAACAAATCTCGTTGTTTCATTTCTGTATTTTCAATGAAGAAGACACTTCCAATCACGTGGAATGGACCGGGCCGGGCGTTGACTCCAACGACCGGAATGCATACAAAACTGTGGAAAAAATCAAGCACGATGCCAAACCAAACGCGTCCTTCTTCTCCTTGGCTCAACGGCGACAGAAGTGCTGAGCCCCCAATAACAATAATCCAGGTCTATACATCACCTACACACACCCTTCCCAACCATGGCGGCTATATATGAGCAGGTGATGACAGATGAGAGACAAGTGAACCACAGCGACTCCCTCCATCGATGTGAGAGGTCGTCGTAGCTATCATCAATCTTGGTCAGCGCGCGCGCACAGCAGCAGTTAAATTGAGGCCTGCAGGTGGTCAGGTAAGCTCATCAATCCCTCCTTATGATATGATGCTGCCTCCTCCTCCTCCTCCTTCTTCTTCTTCTTCTTCTTCTTCTTCTTCTTCTTCTTCTTGCACAAATACAAGGAGCTCGGTTGAATCGTTTTGTTGTGGAAGATAAGATAGATGTGACTTTTCATGCATATTGTGTGTTTTTGTATGGAATTGGCCCCCTCTCGTCCTTTGATCACGCTACGCCACTGTATGTTGTAGTCATGCATGCATTCCCATTCTTTGATTTTTCTTATTATGCCTATTATAGATAATCCATGGACGTAGCAATAAGAATTCATTCTTTGGCTTTCTGATTTACAGATATTTTTACAACAAATTAAGCGATGTTTGGAGGGCCACTGCACGTGTGGAACAAATGTGCGATCCAAGTCCTCGTACTACTCAGCTTCGGTCTGCAAATCATTCTCCTTATCCTTGCCTCTACCCGCCGGCGCAGATCCTCCACCTTGCCGCGGATCTTCCTGAGGGTGCTTCTTTGGCTCGCCTATCTCATGGCCGACTCCACCGCTATATACACTCTTGGCCACCTTTCCATCAATGGTTGGTTGCCCGAACACGAGCTGGTGGCATTCTGGGCGCCATTTCTCCTCTTACATCTTGGTAGCCAGGACAACATCACCGCCTACGCCCTCGAGGACAACCAGCTCTGGCCACGCCACCTTCTAACTCTTGGTGTCCAAACCGTTGGAGTTTGTTATGTCATGTATAAACATATGACCCACGAACCAGCCATGGTGGTAGCAGCCAGCTTGATGTTCATGGTTGGTTTCCTCAAGTACTTGGAGAGGACATGGTCCCTCAAGCGTGCCACCCTTGACAATATCCGAAGCTCGATCAAGGCTCGACCCTCTAGGGATGCGCCGGTAGGGTCAAAGAAAAATCATACACGAGACCCGGATGAAGAAGAGCTTCTGTTATTTGCTCACCATGTGCTCCCAACTTGCATGGCTGCACTGACTGATTATTCTGAGGATTCGGGTAAAGTTTCCCGACATTGGAAAGGGGGGCATATTGGCAAGGTAGTCGAGATGGAGCTCTCCCTCATGTATGACATCCTCTACACCAAGGCAACGATGATCCACGGTTGGTATGGCTACTTTCTCCGTGTCATCTCACTGATCTCCACTCTTGCTGCATTACGGTTGTTTCATTTCTATGGTAAACATGGTCATGCCAAAATTGATGTTATTATCACCTACATCTTGTTTGGTGGTGCACTGTTTCTGGACACGGTGTCGTTAGTCAAGGCTGCAATGTCAAGCTGGACATGTGATTTATTGGAAAATAAAGGAGGATGGGGTAAGATGCTTTGTAGGAGAATTCGGTCTTCCCGTCGGCTTGTGAAGGCGGCATCTAGGAGAGGGTGGTCAGGATCCGTTGGGCAGTATAATTTGTTTGACGTGTGCTCTCGTGACACGACCAAGACAAGCATCAGAGTATTACGGATGATGAAGCTCGATGATTGGTGGAAGAAATATCAGCACAAGGGGACCTTAGTGATTCAAAGGGATGTCAGGGAGTTGTTGTATGAAGCGATATGGCGGACGATTAAGAATAATGATGATCTCTCTGGGCTGTTCGACGTGAAATTACCGGAAGGTAATATCGAGCTTCAGGATGTGATCTTTGTCTGGCACATCACCACCAATATCGTCCTCTCGTATCCCGAAGCAAACACAGTACAATCCCCGTGTGTGGGGGCGATCAACGCCCTCTCGAACTACATGATGTATCTGGCCGTGGCACGGCACGACATGCTACCAGCCCTTAAGGTCCGCAGCATGTGTGAGCAAACCAGCGATGCTCTGCAGGACATATGGAGTGAAGCGACTTCGTGCCAAAGGACGGCAGGTTTTGGGCCCATACTGCGTGCCCTGGATATAAGGAGGCCGTCTTGGTACCACGACTCCGACCGCCCGTATACTACGGTCATCTATGGAACCTTGTTTGCCAAGGAACTGCTACCTGAGGCAGTGGAACATTCCGCCAATGAAATCCATAGAAGTGCACGCTCGGAAGATCGCATGGATAAGCGTTGTCGTAACATTCTTTGGCGCATAGTGCCTGAGGCATACACAACTGGCAATCTGTCTGTGGAAGTGCTTCTAAAGCTCATCTTGGACGCATGGGTGCGTATGCTTGTCGCTGCGTCAATCAGATGCAGCAGGGAGTCCCATGCCAAGCAGCTCAGCCGTGGCGGTGAGCTCATAACCATCGCCTGGATCCTGACAGAGCACTTCCATAGGCCTGCTCGTCGGTGACATGCTAGCTCATCACAAGTCCTAATATTGCGAGGTTGAGCAGTCCTTCTCCTCCATGTAAGGAATACCACTTTATTCAAGTTTGTAAGAGAAAAATATTTGCACGCATGTTGGTCCAAAGTAAATCAAAGCTCGACCAACTTTTTCCCCTCTGTACGGACACACATAATATCTTGTTTATTTCATCTACAAATTGAGTAAATTTCATCCATCCGACATCAAGTCGCGAGGCGCGATCACTTTCATGCATGACGTTGTAACTAAAGTGAATACAAGCCGACACCAATAACTGCAACCCAAAAAGAAGAAGGGGAAATCGAAAAATTCCAAGGTAGCCTCAAACTGTTGCCACTGCTGCTGAAGAGGACATCGATGATCAGAGGTTCTCCCTCCGTCCCATAATATAAATACATTTTTCAAGAATCTATGTATCACCTCAAATTGATACAAATTGAGTTTCACATGCATGGTGAGCGAGCGAGTCCAAGTAGTTTTCACCGTTTTTGAGTGACTCTTTCGTCTGTCTGCCGTGCACAATAGAAAATATATTATGGCGAGGTAACGATGGAAGATGAAACGAAGAGAGGAGGAAGGAAGCATGCAGCTGCAGGAGAAGGGAAGAAGAAGAAGATAAGGTGTGGCTTTGAAAGCAACAGGCTAGGCTAGCTGGTAAGAGCATTATTGGTCCATCGTGCTTTATTCCACAACTTTTGTATGGTGTCCCAGTCTCAAGAGCGTGAGCCACACGATCATTTTCCACAGCATGAATGGATCATTTCCCACAATTTTCCTACGGTTGTCCTTGCTCACGGTGGGGGAGGTGGTCTTCAGCGCGGGCGCGGTGCCTAGTTGCCAAGGTGATCATAGGTAACATCACACATATCAAGACAAGATGAATTCACAACCTAATAAATAAAGTGTTGCATGACACCGCACATATGTTACTCCTCAATATACATGTAGTAACATATGCATGTTACTAGTCTAACTTACTCCCACTAGTAGAAAAAGGGGCTTTTGTCCCGGTTGGTAAGGCCCTTTAGTCCCGGTTTTTGACCACATATCACATGGAAAACTTATTTTATTTTATTTTTTTGACATTTCCATCATTTTCTTTTGTTTTTTCTAAAACTAAAAAGGCGGTCCGGGGGGGAGGGGGGGTAGAGTTTGAAAATGGGACCTTTAGTACCGGTTCGTGCCATGAACCGGTACTAATGCCTCAAAGCCCATTAGTCCCGGTTGGTGGCACCAACCGGGACTAAAGGTCTAATGGGCATCACACCCTTTAGTCCCGGTTCGTGGCACCAACCGGGACTAAAGGGCCCAGGTGAACCGGGACTAATGCCTTAGCCCCACGAACCGGGACGAATGCTAACATTAGTCCCGGTTTGTGACTGAACCGGGACTAATGTGAATACTGCCCTGTGACCAAAGCCCTGTTTTCTACTAGTGTCCCCACTATAGATAGTCTAATGCCTATTGTTCTGCTATTAAAAAAAGGTGAAAGCAGCAATGAGGCAAGCAATCGACACCCATCCCACCCTTCATATCTAAATTTCTGGTGAATATTTGGAGTAAATAGAAAAAAAACTACCACATTACGGGTTAGGGTTATAAAAACTACCTTATTTCTTAATTTTCCAAAAAAAAACTATCACAAATCTGGTTTGCTGTTCCAAAAAACCCTAGTTGTCGAAGCGTGAAGTTTAACCCGCGTTTATGACAGATTGGGTCAACTCATCAGGTAACCATTATATTGGACCGTTAGTTAATTGTCATGACGTGTGGAGCCCACATGTCGATCCCTACAAAAAATAAAAGCAATCAGGTCTCTATCATAGTTTTAAATAGCCGGCTATAGCCTCGCTATAGCCCGCTATAGCCTTTTCAGCAGGGAGCTGCTAAATGGTCGCCTTCACAAATAGCCCGCTATAGCTAACACACACACGCGCGAGATGAACTGAAGGAGGAAGAAGACCTACGCGAACGCAGTGAACAGAGAGATTTTGCGACGCGCCAAGTTTGCGTCTTTTCTGTTTCTACCTTTTATTCCTTCAGATCCTAACAAGCCGGCCTCGATCCGTTTAACCCGTGCGATCCCACGGACGAGATCGTGGCCAACGATTACATGACTGACAAGGAAAAATAACCACTAGTCCTATTCAGCCGCAGCACGAACACAGCGTGCCTCTGGCTTTATTTTCAGAAAGTTCAGAAACAACAAACAGGTTCAGGTTCAGTAAGATTAACACAACAGTTTTGAAAAAGGCATGGCGCTCTCCATGGTAGACATGGCCGCCATCTGAGCTTCTTCTCCTCCGCCTTGCTCTATCTCGCTCCCGTCGGCCCCGATGCCATGGCTGGAAGCTGCGTGCTACTGCTGCTCGCCGCCGCTGCAGCAGCCACGGCCGGTGGAGTGGAAGATTGCTGCTGCTGCTGCTGCGGACAGCAGGCCACTGCTCCTTTTGGCACCGCTAGTGCTCCTTCACGGGCGGTCATGCATTCCTTATCGACGCCGCTGCCGCTAGTGCCCTGAATGATAGTGTTGCTGTGCTGAATGACCACTTAAACTGAAGTACTACATCGGCTATACTTGTTATTAAAACTGCTTATAATTCCTACTACTTTGGTTTGTACTTTGTAATGATAGGATAGCATGGTTCGCCAGGTTTTTGCCCTATTGTCTGTGTCTATATATGGTGATGAACATGATGAGGCATGGACAGCGGGTTTTCCTGGCTTTGCTACAATCCTCTTTTTTCCCTACTACTCCCTCCATTCCTAAATATAAGTCATTTTAGAGATTTCACTATGGACTACATATGGAGCAAAATGAGTGAACCTAGACTTTAAAATATGTCTATATATATCTGTATGTAGTTTGTAGTGGAATCTTTAAAAAGACTTACATTTGGGAACGGAGGGAGTAGTTTGTTAAGACATGTCCTCTCTATAGCGTCCTAGGTGCTGCAACCGCAAAAAAAAAAAAAGGATTCAATGTTCATGGTTCCATAAAGTTCACCCAGGTTCAATCCTGAATTCGTCCTACTGTTGGCAAAGCAAAAAAAAAATGCTTTCAACAAAACGAAGCAGTTATCTGCAGATAGTTTCCTTTGATGAATCGGGCCCAAAAGACTGACACCAATATCAGCACGATCTACAGTTTGAGACACAATGCACGATTTTGCACGAAAACTCACCTACCAGATGAGGGTGGCGCGGTGGATCAGCTCGGGGCGGCGGGGTCGACGAGCAGCAGCGCGCGGTGGGAACAGATGGAAGCATCGCGTCGGGGTCAGGGTCGGGGGAGCTCCAGATGAGCCTGCCCAGCAGCGCGTGTGGGTACAGCCTCCTTTATTTTTGTTTCTTTTTATGTTTTCTGTTTTCCTATTTTGCTTTATTTTTTACTTTTGTTTCTTTATACTTTAAAATATTCTAAATATATATTACAAAAGAATCTATAAAAAATATTTTAAAAATGTTGACCAAGGATTTGAAAAATGTTAAACGTGTATAAAGAAAATGTTTATCAGTCATACGAGAAATGTATAAAAAATTGATCATGTATTCATGAATGTTAATCAAGTATTTGAAAAATGCTAATGTGTATACAAAATATGTTTACCATGTATTACAAAAATGATGGGAATTTTTGATCATTTATACAAAAATGTTAATCAAGCATTTTAAAAATGTCAAATTTGTATAGAAAAAATGTTGAGTATTTGTTAAAAAATGATTGAATATTCTGATCATGTATATAAAATGTTAGGCAAGCATTTCAAAACGTTAATCAAGCATTTAGAAAATGCTACATGTGTTTAGAAAAAATATTCAGCATGTGGTCAGTCGCCATGCACAAGTTTATTGTACATCTCGCCACAGTTATTGTGTCATGCCTTTGTTGTCTCCGGTGAGCGGCACCACCTTTTTCAGCTCAGGCTTGTGTCATGCCATTGGTGCTAC